CTCAAGCTGCGCTGCCTCCCCTCGCGATGGAGCTACATCACATACGCCTCGTACGCCTCCGTCGTCGTCTCCGCCGCCGGGGCCCTCTCGCCCGTCCTCATCTCCTCGTGGGCGCCGATGGCCGGCTTCGCCTCGCCGTACGACTTTCTGATGCGCACCAACATCCTCGCCGACGGCCGGCTGAGGGCGCTCACCGCTGGCCTCACGCCCCTCGCGACCGTGCAGTTCCTTGCCCAGCTCGCCGCCATCAGCCAGCTCCACGTCGAGGGCCTCCTCACCTACCCGTCGATGCCGCGCGTCCTCCGCTGCTTCGCCGGGCCGTCCGGCCGACCCGCCTCGCGCCACGCCCGCGGCAGCAGCTGGCGGCCGCGGAGCTGCTGCGACGTGCTGCGGCTGACGACGGTCGCCGCGGGCACCGCCCTCTTCTTCATCATCCTCTCCGTGGCGCTCGCGCTGCCGCTGCTCGCGCCGACGTATGCCGTCTTTGGTGGCGGGACGCCGCACCGCTTCGACCAGTTCTCCTTCTTCAGCCGCTTGCGCGCTTGGCATTTCGGCGTGCGCCCACCGGCCGACGAGCCGCCGACCGTCGAGGACACGCGCCATGCTCGCTTCCCGCGATCGGTCGCGGGCAAGTCGCTCTACATGCTGATGGTCGACCGCTTCGCACAGGAGTCGCACAACGGCAGGCGCGTCTACGGCTGCAGCGGCACCGACCACTGGTGCGGCGGCGACATCCGATCGATCGTCGAGCGGCTCGACTACATCGAGGGCCTCGGCTTCGACTGCGTATGGATGACGCCCGTCATCGAGCAGTTCGGGGCCACGCGCTGCTTCGAGCCTGGGACTGGCGCCACTGGCACCTTGATAAAATCGCGGCCTAAAAGGAAGAAAGGATAACCCCCTCCGCCTCGAGAACCTCGCTCGATCGCGAACACACACACGGTCCCCACCGTACATAAATAGAGCAGTCATCTCCGGGAGAAATGGGCGACGCACGAACACAGAGGCACAGCGCGCACCCCGCCCCGCTCGCAGGGCGTGCATCACCATACAGAACAAGCTCGTCAGGTGCAGGTGTGAACGGGTAGTCTCCCCCCATCCTCAGGGCCTCCAGGGCTCGCACCTCAACCTCTCACAGACCAGCGCATAGCGCCATAGGACGCATTTTCTTCTCATAACAAGGCTGTGAATGTGCTTTTCTGTGAACAGAGCTTCATGTCACTCCAAACGCCGCGCGTCGTCTTCCAGCCGCCGGGCGGCTGGCCAGTGCGAGGCGGCGGCGGTCGCTCCGTCGGCGCGTGCCGCACTAGTGGTGGCAACCACGGCTCATACGACGAGTTCTGGTCGCTCACGGCGAAAGCGTGCCGCCAGAAGTGCGCTGCGCTTCCGGAGACGGAATGTGTCGGCTACGAGCACTCGACGCTGCTGCACGGG